CAGTTCTCCAGAGGAGCTCTTGATGTTTCTCCCCCCTCACGTTCAAGGGAGGAAGTATCGGGGGCGGCGGGTAACACAGTGTCACCAGGCACTTCTTCCCACCTCAAAGTTATAAAGTTTGTATTCTCGCAGCCAGGCCGAAGGCCGAGGGCGAAATACATGATCAAAACAAATCCATGTCATGCCATGTTTCCTGCAGGATTTAGTAGACAAGGGAAAAGCTTTTTCTACTATTAAAGTATATTTAGCTGCTATCTCAGCCTGTCATTTGGGCTTTGGTGAGAAGACGGTGGGGCAGCACCTTTTAGTATGTCGTTTCATGAAAGGTGCTCGCCGTAAGCTCCCCGTCTCCAGGCCCCTGGTTCCTCTGTGGGATCTATTGGTGGTGTTGGAGGCCCTCTCTCAACACCCGTTTGAGCCGATGGAGGCAGCGGAGATGAAATTTGTTTCACTTAAGACAGCCTTGCTCTTGGCTTTAACCACAGCAAAGCGTGTGAGTGACTTACAGGCTTTATCCATTCGCCCATCCTGCTTACAGTTTGCTCCAGGGCTCACTAGGGTCTGTATGCGGCCCAACCCGGCTTTTGTGCGTAAGGTGGTGGAGGCAGCGTACAAGTGTCCCACGGTAGAGCTTTCAGCTTTTCACCCTCCTCCGTTTTCCTCCTCAGAGGAACGAAGATTTAACATGTTGTGTCCGGTGGGAGCACTGCATTTGTATGTGAGTAGATCGGCAGGTTTCAGAAAAGCAGATCAGCTGTTCGTGTCCTGGGCCAATTCTCACAAAGGAAAGCCATTGTCACGCCAGAGGCTGTCCCACTGGATTATGGAGGCCATATCTCTAGCCTATAGCTGTAGGGGTTTGCAGCCCCCCCGCTCCCCCCCAGGGTTTGAGGGCTCATTCCACGAGGAGTATGGCCACTTCATGGGCCCTGTTCAAGGGGGTTCCAGTGCAGGATATTTGTGCGGCAGCAAGCTGGTCTACACCTCACACTTTTGTAAGGTTTTACAGGCTAGATGTCTCAGGGCCTTCCTTAGCACACGCTGTGCTAGAGGCCAACGCGCCAGAGTCCCTGTGATGGTCATTACCGGGCTAAACAATCTTTGGCTTCGGGAACGGCATGCAATACGGGAGCGGTCTACATCTTCCATAGTGAAACACCGAACAAAGTTAGAGAAAAAACTTTGGGTTACTTAACGCAACCTCGGTTCTTTGATAACAGAGTGAGGTGTTTCACCACACATCCCTCCTTGCATTGACACAGAAAGAAATCGGTCTAGAATGATTTGCGAGGGGCGGTAGACTGTGATAATATGAGGGGGCGAGGCCCCAGCATAGTTTGACCTGTCTGTCACCGACAGACGTGGTGTCATTGGAGCTTCCTTAGTTGGTCACGCCGAGGCGATTCCCATAGTGAAACACCTCACTCTGTTATCAAAGAACCGAGGTTACGTTAAGTAACCCAAAGTTACTTTAACCAAGACAAGGCAAGCCAAAAGGCAAAGCAAAGCAAACCAGAACAGGGTTAGTTTAACCAAGGTAAGGCAAAGCAGCAGTGGTGTAGCGCTGATGCTCAATGATCCTTGCCCTGCAGAGTACAGTTGCTGCCAACAGCCTACCTGTCACCACACGGCGCAGAGTGAAAGACGCCAGGAGGTGTCGTAACCCCAGCCTCTGGCAAGTGAAATGCAGACAGGTGCTCTGAAGCCGCCTTTATGCCGTATTGTCATGCAGCGATTGGCTGTGATCCAGACCCAGCTGAAAGTTATTAAGACCAATCACTGCATACTGCCACAATCGCAATAGAGGAAAACATACCTATTTTCCGATATAACATTCCACTTCTACATTCCTTTTTGTCCAGCGCAAAACATGTCTATGTAAATGCCGTAAACAGCTGAAGAACCTTGACCCTGCTTAATTAAAGAGCCTTTTCTAGTATTGACGACCTTTGCATCTAAAATGGCCTTCAGTTGCATCAGTCTGCATGCCGAAACATTCCTCTTTGGAGGACACGTACGCCTCACGCTTTCTCTGGTCGCTTCATGCATTCTTATGGGGTGCACACAAATCAACTTTTAATACGTTCAAAATATAATTAATGTGAGTGAAATAAATGATACATTAATCTTTGTGATGTGAAACTTCTCTTTATGGATTTGCATGAAAGTCTTTTCTTGTCTTACTAGTCAGAGCAGTTTAATACAAGCAATTCTGTTGAACGAGTCCCAGGAGCTGTAGCCCACTTATTCAGTACTTTGTTTGCGTTTGTGTTTGTGTCAACGCATGGGGATGTGAGGGAATGCAAGCTTCTACGTATGCGACCCTGTGAGTCACGATCCTTTGGGTTAAACCACGTTTGGACACCCTAATGCATTGTTACACTGTGACAAATGTTCCCCAGAGATCACATTGTCACTCTCGCAGTCACTCATTGTCATGCAACTCAGACACACACCAGTCTCTTTGTAAAGAGACAGCAATGAACTCAGTCACTGAACCTGCAACAATCGGTCAAATTCAGTCATTGGCCCTGGTCGAGTTGGTCAAGCTATTGCCTCTTGAGTCTTTACAGGTGAAGCAAATGTTTGGGTTAAAGTGGCCATGCAAAGGATCCAAGCGCTAAAGCGATCAATTTGGTACAATCCAGTTAAGATGAATAGACTTAATCCAGGAGAACTATCCACCTCAGTCGTCCTCACTGCATGGGACCCTCTCCATTAGTCTCCAAAATCTTCTGTACAACTAAAAATCAATCCCCCGATGGAGCGCCAGCCCATTTGTCGTTGACTTGACAGAAGCTTGGGTCAATAGAGGCACTGCATTGCTACTCCCTCATTGAGCCTCTCAGCAAGGCCTCTGCTTGGCACAGCAATACTGACTGCCATCCATGATCGATGGTCCAGGCATGTGAATGGGATCAGTGGAGCCCGTCAGAGCGACTGACACGTTGTTACTTCGCTCTCTCTCTCATCTCATGGTGCTGCAGCAGATGGTAAGATGACAGAAATTTGGATTCTGCCCTGTGGATACCACAGATAACGAGACTCAATCTTTTATTATTTCCTCCAATGCTCCAAGGCCAGAAGTAGTTGGAATAGTTATGTTTTAACTATTCTTTCATCTATTTCACTGCATATCAAAGTACCAGGTGGTTCAGACAATCAACGTGGGTCGGAGGGATCAACGCTACCACGGCGGACATTGGGTGCATCAGGTGGAGAGTAGCATGCAGCCATACCAGTGAGCTTCTAGGACACAGAGCACTAAAATGAGCACTGGACGGACACCGTGGGGGCGAATACAGTTGCTGCCGACAGCCTCCCTGTCACCACACGGGGCAGCGTGAAAGACACCAGGATGTGTCGTAACCCCAGCGACACCCATTTATACCACATTGTCATGCAGTGATTGGCTGTGGTCCAGACCCAGCTGAAAGTTATTAGGACCAATCACTGCATACTGCCACACTACATTCTGTAAAGGTTGTCCCGCTCAAGATGAATCACTTTGAGGATCCCTAACTATTCACCATTGTTAAGTCCAAATTTGAATTTGTCCAATGTTGTACTTTATGATAATTGTCTTCCAAGCTAAAGACACTCCCATGAGCCTCAGCTGCACCTTGTGTTGAATGCTAATTGGCAAATAGTACCCTGCTAAAGTGCTGAGCTAAGACGGTGAACTTGTGAAATATGGTATGTGTTAAACATCAGGAGTTAGCTATGTCATTCCGACCATCGCTGAGTTCAATCTGGCATGCTGACATACTTTATATGACATACACAATCCATACGATCTGCAAACTGCCTACTAATTTAACAATGAAGTATGCCATTACCAGCAGACTGCTCATGCTGAAGTGAACTCAATCAATATTCACTATTCTGAATCACATCACGAGACCCGTCCAACCTATCATTAACTGAAAATGTATTTACTTTAAACAGTATTAAAGTAATATTTTTCCAGTGTTACTTTAAGGCAAATTACTATAATTATATATGCTAGTGTAAAATATGTTTTCCACAGCACATTATATACGTAAGCTTAATCGTACCTTGACATCACTGAGTATCTATACAGCCTTTTCAACTTTTAAGTCAACATTTTTGCCAACCCACATTCATTTCTCCATTCAATGCATCTCCATTCAGGGTTAAAATGTTTTGAAGTATGTATACATCACAGCTGTTTTTAAACAAATCAGCCATATTTAAAATATATCTCTTTCTGTTTAATCTTACTACACAGAAAATTATCTGGTTCCAGAAAAATTGATGACAAGTTTTATTGATAAGGAGAGTTGTTCCTATTTCTTAACTGGAAGTGAATCTCTTGAACTTAAATGTTGCAGCAGACGATGGTTGGCAAATCAATTTCCTTAGCATTAACAAAAGACAGCTTACCCTCCGTAATGTGAATATAATTACAAAATGCTTTTAATATACTTGATTGCCCCTTGGATGAACATGGGATTCCCTCATTAACCTGCTGCAGCCCACTTCCCTTAATACCAATAATGAGCAGAGTATGCAATCATCCCGACCCTATTATTATTTGTCATGAATAAATGTATGTGTCACTATTATTATCAATTACATGTTCTGCAAGTATGCATATCTATGCAGCTCCCCTGGTATTAGCTCTTTCTTCAATTGCTCATTTAAAAACACAAGACAGCTTGGCTAACAGGCCACAGTCTCCTTCCTAACACGCGAACATTCACAGAAAAGCAGGCACACTTCCTAAACACAGAGAAGTTTCCATGATTTAGGAAATTATGTGAAAAAAACTCCCCATCAACTGTGTAAACAAATAACGAACAATCAGTACAATACGTACAGCACATTTATTCATTGTGGAATTTTTGCAATTGACCACAGCGGGACAGACTTTCCTCCAGACAAGCTGAAACTGTTGTGACAAGTCACTTCCTATTCTCATAGCTTTGCATCATGGGGCTAAAGGTCTCAACTACTTCCTCTTTTGTTACGTATCTATAGCAACACTCTCTACTTCGCACCACATCCTCAGTAGACACACTTTGTCCCGTGTCTAGAGCAGCGTTCTAATTTTCTACCTTACAATTTTTTGCATTTCAACGATCATGGATGGAAATTTGTCGTCTTTGTTGTCTTCTTCATCATTATCCTCCTCGGGAGCGACAGGAACAGGGGAAGAAAACTCACCACAGAAGGACAGCAGCCTCCCCCCGAGTCATCGGGATCACAAATCAACTGAAGAATTATGGTACGTACGGTTCACTTTTCTCGATTACGGGGTGAACGCAAAAACAGGAACACATTATAGTGCAATCTATAACAATATAATACAACGAATCCACCAACCTAGTAATCAACATCTCGTTGACTGAGTGTGAACAGATGTTAATCATCACACACTAAGTATAAGGTGGTGTTTGTTACAGTGTGGTATTTTACAGAGATTCCTGCAATAATCAAGCTTGTGTGATCTGGTCATCCTCTGTAATGTCTTACATTCTAGAAACAGGAACACAACTCAGATGAATTCTATTTCCTGTTCGATGAGAGGAGGAATTAAGAGTGACTGTGGAGTTTCCCATGACGTCATGAAGATGTAGCATAATTAGCCATTAACCTGAAACTAGCTTTGTACGTCATTATCTCTTCTTTCATGACTCTTAACGTGGGCACACTTAGTCGTGACCAAACTACCTAAAAAAATGATTAGTGTGCCTTAAAATAACCATATTGAAATAGTGAAACAGCACACTTCTCTCGTCTGTAAGAGGCCAGAGACACATCAACTGTGATATTTCTCAGTTTAGCCACCAGCAAAAAGGAAAGATAATATCTCTCTCCGTATCATGTGCCATGAAAGTGAATTATCATTTTGCTGCTGGAAGCAGTGGAATTTTGGTGTCCTTCCACGGCGGGATACAATTGAAAACTTGCAACTGGGTCACAGGCAGTGTGTATCGGCCGTCAGGGACGCTGAAAGAGAAGAGGCTCTGGATCAGTGGTGTGGTCCCAACAGGATGGTTGAATACACAGAGCGGACTTGCCAAGGCAGGCCGGGCATGGTTATGATTATGAGCATTTTTTACTCGTACTGGCCACAATTTATGTGTTTTAGTTCAGCTTCTGACTCCATCTTACACTTCCCAAATTGCAACTGTAGTTTCTGTGTGAATAATTCTCCCATGAGAGTCAATAAAGTTCCTTCCCTAAAGGCTGTTCCCGCCGCGTTGAACCTGATGGCACAGAGTGCACATTTGGACAAATTATTTCACTTTGAGTTAACTTTTCGATTAAGTCCTTTTTGATTATCCAATGAGACTATCTGGGATCAAGGTAATCCTGAATCCGGAAAGTCATCTTTTCTGGAAAAATCCCCAGGTTCTGATCGAATTGCCATTGCGACCTTATCCAGGGGCTTTTACAAGTTTTTAAGTTTACGGCAAAAACCCCTAAGTATGACGTCGCTTTCTAACATTTTGACCATGCATACACGTCCACACAGAAGACTATTGACGAATCATATTGCATCTTCTTCCAGGGACACATCTATCATATTTACTGACTATATTGAATTATGTCAACAAAGCCCTTCCCAGAAACCAAATGTCCCTACAGCAAAGTAAAAGACATTTCTTGATAACATCTTGTTTCAGAGAAAGTGCTTTACCCTTAAAGCGAGGTTACTTTGACCTTTAGCGGAACGCAGCAGCTTGGCCAATGTCCCCTCAACCCATACTAACTAACTAAGTCCAGTCCTCAGCAAGGCAACTTCTCCAAAATCAGCATGGTTTTCTTCTGAATTGTAATTACCTTCTTTAATCTTCATTTAAACTTCAGGTTAGAACTAGTATGCTTATGCCTACACGCACCTAACCACAACAAAGTCTAAACTGCCCTCTGATACGTGATTTGCGATATCTCAAAGGCCTATGTGGATTGTAAACTGTGAAATTTGGTGATACAAAGCTTTCATAAAACATGAGTTTCTTTTCAGGAATACATAACTCGAAAAAATACCGTTTAGGCGTCAAATAGACATGTATCTTCCCATTTGTACTTCCCTCAATAAAACGTCTCTCTAAACTTGTGCAACACCGGTTTTCACGTAGCAGGACATTGTGCGTTAGCGGTGGAAAGTACATGTGTGCGATGGAGTTTAGCCTTGAAGGTGATCGTGGGTCTTTGCCAGTTGTGATTCTTTGTAGTACTGAACTCTCTGAGGTCACATCGGTCCTTCTTTGTGTGAAGAAGCCCTGGGGGCTACAGTCACAGTTGTGTGTCCGTCCATAGCAGACAGATCCCCTGGGCTTGTAATCTCTACATCTCTCAGTTACACAAGACCTCAGGGCTGGAGGAAAGGAAACTAGTGCAAATAGTTAAATGGCAGCTTTTTCAGGGGTCATCCCCCATGTTGTTTCCAGGGCTAAAAATATGCAAAGATATCTAATAGTAACCACAGATTTCCGACTGGTTGGATGCAGCGAAATGCACCACCCTGCGCGTGTGTTTCTGAGTTTCTTCGGTGCATAATGTGACTACGCGCATGCGTGTGCGTGGGTGTGCATAATAGCTCCGAATCAATTCCCTGTAAGTGCACTCTACGCGAGTGGGTGTTCAAAAGTACTCTGAGGTTCTTTTGTGCGCACGTGTGTTTGCTTATTAATGGAAATCTTCTTCTAATGTTCATCATCATGACTTTATTTATGGATCATTTCATGTCGGTGTGTGATCCAGGGCAGAGGACGTGAGTCCCGTGGGTGGCAGCAGGCTGCTGTCCGCCGAGGAGCAGGTCACTCTGATCACTGAGAGTATGATCGTCACCTCCACTGACCAGGAGAAACTGCTGCTGCTCAACAAGAATACCGAGCTCCGCCGAGTCAACAAAGAGGTACAACGGCACTTTAAACCCGTGCAGATTCTCTTCAAGACCACATTTGAATGGCCGATGTAGCCAATTACATTGAGTGCTCTCTGAAAACCAGAGGAGGATTGTGGGCGTTGTGTGAAAACTCCTGTCAATCCGTGAAGAATTGTCGTTACACTTACCTTTGCTTCTTGATTGTAATCAAGTGCTGCTTAATAAAAAGAGAAAGAGGGAAATAACGTATGATTCTCTCCTATAATGCAAACTGTGAAGTGTTTTGCGTCACGTCTCACCTCACCAACCTCACTCGACTTCCTGATGCCCATGTTGTGAAATGATGGCTGCTACGTTGGCTGCTGTAGAGGCCGTGGCGCCGATAATAATGTGATGATGATGAGGATAATGTGATGATGATGATGGTGTGCTACAGCTGATGAAGCTCAATGCGGACTGGGACCACATGTACCGGAACGCCACGCTGGGTCTCCAGCACAGACTGGAGGAGTTGGAGCTGGAGAACGCTGCCGTCAAACAGCTCAACAGCAGACTGCTGCTCAGGGTCGAGCACCAGCAGGTAAACACACAACGGTACTTCAAAGGTAGATGTAGAGGACACGGGTGTAATAGCCCAACGTTGAGTTACGGCTTTGGAGGTATTGATGGTGGAAGATAATAGATGTGTTTTACGTGCTGCTGTGTTTGGGATTGCAGAGTGCAAAGGAGTATTATGAGCAGGAGTTGATGCGTGAGCTGAAGAAGAACCAGGAGCTGTATGAATACATCCGATTGATGGAAAGTGGGGGGCACCACCCGGACAGAGACCACATACTTGCCAAACAGGTAATTGTACCTGTCAGTAGAAAGTTCTTTCACGTATAAAGACTTGTTAATCATTTTCGTTATATCTTAACTACAGGGCAGTTTTGCTTCAGCGATTCGCGGCCCTGTAACTGGGCCCACCACTAATCCTCCAGTGGGTCCCGACCTGTCACCCGGTCGCGTTTCTGGATACAACCCCTCACCTTCCCTTTTCCCAGCTTCTTCCAGCCTAGAGACAGGGCGGGCGAGAAAAAGCCCAAGCAGAAGTACCCCACTGGGGGAACCGGGAGGCTCACAGCGAGAGGTGCAGGATCTCAAACAGCAGCTTGAGGCACTGCACTGTCAGGTAAGATGCTCTTTTCAGCACGGCATCAAAAGATTTTTCTATTTCTGATGTGATGAGAGCAAAACTGGAGTCAGCTCACTGTTGCCAGGGAAGGATTTGCTAAATACTTAAACTTGAATTAGAGGGTAAAGTGCGCCACCAAGTGGTGGCTTGGTGCGGTTCCTCGCAGGAAAAATAAGAAGCGTCTGCGTATTAAAAGATGGGTCTTTGATTTTGGATCACTGCCATGTCAATGACTTTTGTCGGCAGACCCAGATATATGAAGCAGAATATCAAACAGAGCATAGCGACCACAAACACACACTTCAGGAGAACCGGCGGTTGAGGAAGAAGAGGGAGGAGACGCGCCAACAGGTCGCACTACTACAAGAGCAGGTTGTTGTTTTATAGTACACATTTTTAAAAATACACACTGCATTCTTGAGGTGTGTCTTTTTTCATGGAGTTTGCTCTGTTGTTTCTTTAAATAACTTTACTGGTTATGTCCCTTCTTGCAGCTCAAGGTCTATGAGGACGACTTCCGACGGGAGCGGTCGGACAAACAGATGTTGCAGCGGCTGTTGATGAAGAAAACACCTCCACACAAGGACCCTGAACTCATCCACCGTTGCAATAATGAGCAGCAGCCACCAGAAGGAGACAAGAGGACACAAAGTGGAGATAAAAGAAAACAGCACCATCCACTCTGCCCAAAGCACCCAAACAGGGACAAAGACTCAGACTGAGGGACGCAGATAAGCTCAACGAGGTCAAAACTGAATTTTGTTTATGGAACTAGCAGGAATAACAGGAGAAAATCTAAGGGCAAATCATTCTTTTGTCCTTTTAGGGTTCTGCTTTCTATTCTTCATAATAAATACATTGTTGTTTCACCGTAATACAAAACATTTGTCGATTTTACTACCAGTATATCAAAATATTTTTAACATAATTGTTTTAATATATCAATTTCTAATACACTGTAATATGTTTGTTTACTCTGACTTTGATGACTATAAAACACGGAAAACTATAAATATATTAAAAATAATGATAATAACTCAAAATAAGTGGTGGTTTGATACTGCTTCAACCTCTCTGTGTGAGGAGGTTTTCCGTTTTTTTCCATCACCACTTTAGTTATATGTTCCTTATGTCGTACACTACTTAGAAGTCCACAAAATAAATGCTTCTCAAATGACTCGCCTCAATAAATCAACAAACAGCCTAGACCACAATAAAAGTCAGTGCCATCAGAATGTCAGACAATGAAGCATTGATCTGATCTGAAACTATTGCCACATATGATCACACAACAAAGGGCATCTTTCTTGTGTGATCATATGTGGCAATAAAGTAATTATAAATGTTGGGCTTTCCCTTCCGTAAATTAGTCTCTCAGCTTCCTCAAAGAATTCCATAAAAAATTCCCTAACCAGCTTTTCGGGTTGAAGTACACAACAAGGAGACAATTGTATGAAGCAAGTCTTTCACAAGTCATCTATTGTTCAACGTTCACGTGTTTAAATGAAGTCTTGAAGGACATCACTCGTCAGCAGAAAGGACACTAGATGAACCAACGAGGAATCTGAGAGATTCCTGTGAGTCACTGTGACGCAGTTTTAAACTTCTTGTCCGCACACAGACAATGATCTGTGTCCTCACACATGGTCTCGCATGTATCTTTCTCCTTTCCTCTCAAGAAATCAAAATGAGTAATACACAGTAAGGTACTGTACAAAAGCTTTTGTAGAAGAAGGAGGTCAAAGGATTTTTATTTTGAGTGACTTTTTTATTGAGTGAATAAGGGTCTGAATATATTCCAACATGTCAAGTGAATTTTAAAATTTAACCCTGTTTGAATTGATCGTCTATCCTATAACATATAGATGTCATAGTATTCGTCGGTAGACACATAGTCATCACAGGTAATAGTTCATTTCCATCCATTCAAGCATGTGTATACTTATCACCTCCACCCAGTTGTGCAATATTAGCTTCTCATAAGCTAATAAACAAAAAAACGACTTGTTTTTCAGTTGGTACGCTTATTTCCCCAACATCGGAGACAGTTGTGTGTATTCCAAAGGCTTTATAACCTTAGCGCAAAACTAAAAGGCATGAATAAGGGAATCTCTCAGAGGGCCACATTTGAAACATTTAATGAACATATATTTTCATTTGATAGTTTCTCAATGTAGCAAAGCAAGGATCTTAATTCCATTTGTGTGTCATTGCTCTCAGCTTCGATAGGAATATTGTATGCAGTGCAATTAAACAAAAGCTTTTTTTTCTTATTAGATCCACTCTGCAGTAGCCTTGAATCATGGGCCCGACTCACTCACAGGCTTAGCCGTTTATCAAGTCTTTATTCAAAACAGAGTTATGCTTTTTCAACATTTTCTTATACTTGACATTAATATATTTTTATGAGATATTTTTTATGAGATAGGGTGAGGACGTTGTCATTTTCAAGAATTTGGCCTTGATTTACAACAAAATAAAGTATGATTTTGTCCCTTTCGTGACATTTTATAATCTATCATCATCTATGCGATGCAATAAACACATACTGTATGTTTGCAGTGTTCTCATATTGAAACAGAAAACGAGATGAAAAAGGCTAAAACTGAACATAAATAATAACTAAATAAATAATATCTGAACCAAAAATGATAATAACTCAACGGAATATTTGCCATCAATGTGAAAGGAGTTTGGATTTACCCTTTCTTGAGTTCCGTTACCAGAGTTTCCTGGTGCAACATGATATCAGCCCAGATGGAGATAATACAATACAAGCACGTAGCAACCAAAACTAAACTTCCCTGTTACTTTAGTCAATAAATATGTACATTACTGTATAGGATTGCACAGTAATGGAAAGTCTGTGTGGATCATCAGTCACGGGTTTTACCCTTCATGAATATAAATTAATAAACTGTAAGCTGCTGACAAAGGAAGAGGAGTTTCTGACAAGTGCTCTGTGCAGTATCCAATGCTTACCACAGAGGAGCTTGTCAGCATCCAGAGTTAAGACCTAAGACAAGAACACACACCAGTAAGTTGATATCCAAACCTCAATGCAAAAGTTTGAGTTACTGACAAGTGTAGTCACTTTGTGTGAGATGCACTAACAATGATACTATGTAGGGTATTTGACTTATTTACATACGATTCTATCCTTTTAATTTCTAAAAATTCACAACATTTATGTATTTCTTTTTGTTACGACCAAAGACCAAATTTGGACTTCGTTGTGTTGTATAAACTGTAAAGTTGTAATCCTCTCTAATCCAATCTGTCAAAAAAAACATGGAGTGTTTAAGTGTGGATTTCTATATTTGATCCCTTTGATGTGGCTTTCAGAATATGAATAGTTCTGTACCAATGTTTTGCTTTTTATTGTTTGTTTTATGTTTAAACTTTATACAAGATTTCACTAAGGAATAAAAGTTACTAGAAGCAACAACTACTACACTTAGCCCATTTCTAAGATCGTGCACGGTTGCTATAGAAAAGTCTAGGTATCTAAATCCACTCCAAATGGGTTTGTGGTTTAATGCTTCTGCTCATCAAACAGAGAGATGTCACTTCGAGCTTTAGAATGGGCAATGTCTTAACCAGTGAAGTCGTTAAAAGAAACAAAATATAGATTATATGGAGGTGATTATCCTAAGGTATTGGTCTTTCAAATGAAGAAATGCAAAATTGGAATTTGAAGTTGGTTTATTGAAAACATCAAAGCAACACAGTAGAAAAGTCACCTAACTTAATGCAAGACAACATGGGTGTGCAGAAACAAAAATGAGTTTAAGTGAATACAAACATCCAGTACATAATGGGAGACTTCTTAAGCCAGTTTCAGTGTCTCTTTGACCATGACTCCAATTCCATCAAAAACCTTATGAATGGGAGCTTTGCACATGAATGCAGAGGTAGTGACCAGTTTATTTTTGACATCAACGTGTGCTTTCTCCACTTCCGTGTTGACGTGTTTGCAGCCCATCTCCTTCATGGCGCATGCGGTCTGAGCGTAGGGCCACCTAACGGTGAAAAGAGAAGGAAAGTCAAAACTGTGCTTTTATACTATGTACACGAATTATGTGAAAACGGTTTTACACACATGTCACACTCTTTGTCCGCTCCCACAGTGAGTTCACAGCCAGGCAGGACTTTGGCAGCGAGGACCGAGGCGATGCAGCACATTCCCAGTGGCTTTCCGGCTTTATGGAAAGCCTTGATGATCTTCTCCAACTGAGGCTGGATGGTGAACGCCTTGTTCTTCACTGCCCAGTCACTCAGGTTCTTCGCCACACCAAAGCCCCCTAAAATATGAGCACACAGGATTCATTAAGAGGATCGCAATTTTTGAGGGAAGAAAAACAAAAAGGGAGAATATTTGGAATTCATTAATGGCAGGTTCAGCCAAACCTGGGATGATGACAGCATCAAATGCAGACACATCCAACTTGGCCAGATCGGCCACATCACCCCTGGCGATGCGGGCACTCTCCTGCAGGACGTTTCTTTTCTCCTCTGTAGGTTTACCCTCACAATGGTTCACTACATGCATCTGATCGGAATTTGGAGCGAACATCTGCACCTGAAATGAAGCATGGCAGACTTATTTACTATGCTAAGGACAAGGGTTATTCTTATTAGGACTGAGTGACAGAAATGTGACAATATAACAGCAATAAGTCAAGACTGATCTTTTCTTACTTTGGCTCCAGCTCGACTCAAATGCACGAGGACAGCGGAGGCCTCATGGATCTCTGTGCCGTCGTAGACTCCACAACCGGAGAGAATAACTGCAACGCGCTTCGACATGGCTTCTATAGAACCAATAAAACGTTGTTTACCGATCAGATATGCTCCTGCACCACCCGTTGCTCTTGGTTACACAAATGAGTCAGGTGACAGGAGTGACTACTGCTGCCAGGAAACTGGATACCTAAACACAGTTACAGGAAGATGTTGGCGTATGCATATTGAATAAATATAAAATAATACAGGCAGTTTAAGAATTTTCCATTTCCCTCATGCTTCTCTGCACTTAATCAAAACAATGCTAACTAAAATCAACATGTTTGTTAGTTAATTTTAGTTAGCTGTAGGTTAGGAGAAAGCATCCGTTATGTTAAGCGAAGTGAAGAGAGTGTAGCTAGATCTTACCTTGTAGTTCTGCGGTGGGTCGCTTTGCTGCCAGTGGTCGAGCTCTTCAGCCGAGGTGTGCCGTATGAGATCAGAAGCAGACACTTTATAGTCCTGCCCGCCCCTCTGGCTCCGCCCACTACCTCCTTAAGGTAACACCGGCTAGATGGCGTGGTCATTGGAGGAGAAAATGCTGAATCATTGCTGAATGATTGCTCTTTGTAATTTGGTATTTAATGAACAACATGTTTAGATAAATATATTTATATATAAATATATATATGTGTGTGTCTGTGTCTGTGTGTGTGTGATGTATAGTCATTTGAGAACAATTTTCTTGATAAAATATCTAGATAATCCATAATGTAATGTATTACTATACTAAATACATAAACTGAAAATTGCAAAACAGATGCTTCACTCTTCACGTGCTTATCTGCATTTCAGAGTACAGTTGGAGGAGAATTGATCATGTTGAAAGATTCGCATTTGGATCATACAAATAACAAAACAAACAAATAATGTTGCTATTTAGCCTTTATTAAGATCAAGACACGTTGAGACAGTATAACGTCTCAAAACGACGAGGCTCTCAATGAAACTCGCTACATTATTCTCGGGGTGATGTTTGGTATCGGCTCTCATCCCTCCTGTCGGACCCGTCTCGGGTTTTCCCTCAACGTGAGCAAGTGGGCGTGGCTCAGTGCGCCTCGCGCGCCGCAGACACCGCGCGCCGCAGAGGACTATAAGGTTCAGCATCACGTATCGCGGACTCATTTCCGACTATGGCTCAACACTCACTGCATGGGTCCATAGGCATACTGGGAATCTCAGGCGGTAAGCATTGAATTGCATAGTGACTTTGCGACAGTTGTTGGCTGCGTGATCTTGGGTTTTTACACATTCTCAAAGTGTACTGCGTACTTTTTTTAAAACATAGGATGTGTAGCGAAACACTAATATAAGATTATTATGAGTCCTCCAATGTCATTAAATACGTTGTGTAATAAAAAAAATAAAGTTTTTACTCTAAATAACAAATTGCCGTTTTCAGCACGAGATAAACTGAGACCTTTAGGAGCGCTATTTTAAGAAATCCACTTTGTAAAACCTCATACCCAATAGTTATCTGATAATAATAAGCTCTTCTATTGAGGGGGCAAGATAATATATATTTTTTCGTATTCATTTCCGATACGTTTTTCCTTCTGACCCACAGGTTCCCTCCTGCTTTTGGTGAACGGCTATGGCAGCTCACCTGAAAAAGAACTCATCCCCTATACAGCACTGGGGATTTTGCTAATAGTCATTGCAGTCCTCTTGGCTTATGCAGGTTGGATTGATGAATGCTTATCACAAGATTGAATTCATTCATTTGTATTATTGTTAGATTAGCATTTGTTTGTAAAACTCATAATGGTCTCCTGTGTTTTCACCTGTTTCTCAGGTATCTCTCGCAGTCTGTCCCACGCCCAGCTGTTTTCATCTCTGTGTCTGACTGTCTCTGCCCTGTGGTTGGGTTCGGGTCTGGTGTACATCCTGGTGGGGCAGGCGGTGCTGCAGCGTGCAGAGCTTAGATCCGCTCTGGTCCCCGGCCTGGCAGCATTCACCTTAGCGCTGCTAATTATAGGCTTTGTAGCAGTTATAGTAAAGAAAGCAGTTCTATTTCTCTTAGCAGTCGGCATAAGTTTGGCAAGTGCGCATCAAATTGCCGGTTTGTCAGCTCCAGGTTTTGGTCAGTCTGCAACAGCTGCAAACTACCTTCTGGTCTGTGTGGTGGGTGTTTACTTTGGTTCTGGACGTCTGCTGTACGGCATCACTCACGGTAAATTGGAGCTTCCTGGAACGGGCTCGAGGAGAAAAGCCCAGCTGAAAACCGAGCAGAACCGAGGGTGTGATGATGCAGTGTCAGTGTGTCTGGTGATGAACTTGCTTTCCGCCTCGGTCTTAGCCTGTCCTTTGTTAGGCGTGGTCCCTCAGCTTTCAACCGGTCACGTGCCCTGGCTGTGGACAGCGGGGGTCTTCCAGCTTGGCATGTGTGTCCTCCTCTACCGGGCCATGGACACACTGGCTGCCACGTTTTACGGCTTCACTGCTCTTTTGAGATTTGCAGAGGGCTACAGCGCTCTCTTATCACCCATGGTTCAGCCTTTCTCCCCCGTTCCCTTTCCCGTTGTCTTCTCTGTGCTTTTCTTCATCCTGGCTCTGTTCCATTGTCAAAAGAGTTTGCTGGAGGGGATCTACCCATTGTTCTTTACAGCATATTGTATCGCAATCGCAGCCCAGCCTCGAGGTTTCTTTCAAGGAGGCACCCAGGGTGTTCAGGGAGCAATATTTGTCTTTACTGCCGGCATGCTTTTCATTACCACATTCAATATGGTTTCCGCGACAATGATCCCTACAGGCCGGAGATATTTCAAGACTTTAGTGACTAGGATAAAGAGTCTTACTCTCAGGGCCAATGATAAAGATCTACATGTACCTCACCTGGGCTACTCCAAGTATGCCGATGCAGAGGTGTTGGGCCACGCCTGTAATGTGCTGGCTGCTTTTGCAGTAACAGCCACAGTTGATGACCTGCATCCTCTGTCTGTGCTGGTTCTGCCCTGGGTAGTGATTGCTGGAGGAGCACTCCAGCTGCTCTGTGGTTCAGTAGCCTTTGCACGAGGTAAAACTTTTGAGAGCACAGTTTTCATCGTGTATGGGATGATGTGGACAGTGTGGGGTTTGACGCGATACGGCGGTTTTTACGGTGAAACCCGAAGCTTTCAAGTGGCTGTCGGGATCATCAGCTTCATGCTGTTTAATTGTCTAGTGACCATTGCAGCGCTGTTTCTAAGTGTCACTTGGTTTATTTACGCCCTCACCTTCCAGCTCATCCTCATTAGCTTCCTGTTAGACGCAGTAGGTGCGCTGCCTTATGGTTACGACATAGGCGTCACAATAATTTTCGGTCTGGTCAGTTTTTACAGTTTCCTGGCGCACCTTTTTAACAGCACCTTCGAGTCACCGCAAATACCGTTAGGAAAACCTCTAGTCAAGCTGAGTGGGGTTGGAGGAGGCACAGAGATCTGTCCGCATGTACCCGGCCGCAAAGCCACATCCGTCCAGCAGATTGCAGGTGAGTTCATGTTAAAAAATGAAATGTTGATTTTTCAAAATGCACAGCTTTTACATACTTAATATGAGTTTTTTTTTTCTTTTTACCTGCAGAAATCATGAAAAACGGTGGCATATGTGGGATGCCTACTGACACCGTCTACGTGCTGGTTGCAGCCTGCAACAGGCCAGACGCAGTTGTCAAAGCATTCAAGTGAGTGTACATTTTCATATGAGTGCAATGATCTGCATTCTTCTGATATGATGATCGGACTCCCTTATTGTTGTACTTGAGTACAGGGTGAAGAAGCAGGCGCAGGACCGCCCAATGTCCATGTGGATCTCCTCCATCAAACAGCTGGAGCCAGTACGACATCTGCTGAGCCCTCTGCTCCTTGACTTCATGGAGGCCGCGTGGCCCTCCTCCATCAGCATGGTTATACCCAGAGGTAGGTGTGCATTTATGGATTCATATCTGGGTAACATTTTGTGTCCGTGTTACTTTATTTTCCGTGAATGGGGTTTTATGAGTATCCTATTGATTGCTTGCCTTTCGCAGGCCCATGGATGGACACCTTTGGTTTAGGAGATGCTGCCAAACACATCGGGACTCCACAAAGTATTGCAATCAGATACCCAGACTGTGCTGTGGCCACACATCTCATTAATATGGTAAGGGCTGTGGAATTGAATTCTTAAGGTGTCTGAAGTGAACAAAGCTACTCATCAGGTTCATTTGTAAGTTTAAGAAACTTTGTTCCTGCAGGTGGGCCCCATTGCCGTAACCTCAGCCAACCCTTCGGGTGAGGCAGACACAACTCACCACAACCAAGTTTTTGCCAAGCTGGGAAAAAAGGTGAGAACACAGTTTCAAATTAAATAAATACTGGAGGCACTGTTCTTTGCAGCAAACTGGATATGCCTTTTGCTCGGTTAGGTGGATGGAGTGTTATGTGATGGACCCTCCCCTGAGAATATTGCATCTACTGTGGTTGACTGCACTAAGATTGAAACGGGGCATATAGGTTTCTTCAGAGTGGGTCTCATTCCCAAATCTAAGGTAACATTCCTTGTTGTTCTATTCATCCTGGAAACACAGTTTCAGTTCAGTGAATGCTTATGCGAAAACTGCTGCCTTTGTTTTTGTGCTTTGAAGGTTCTTCAGATCTTTGAGGATGTTCAGAAGCGGCACATAGGTGGGCAGATAAATCCTGCTTTTGAAAATGATCTGCATCCGTCAGATACACAAAGAGACGCAAGTTCAAGAGAAGATGAGACAGTCGAGTCAGGAAGTGAAAACTCAGCAATCTCCACGGTTTCACCGGAACAGAGTCCAGACCTTGGAAACGGGTCATAATATCAATACACTGCTTTCAAATGCTGCCAAATGTAACTAAAATTTGGGACAATTACTGGGTCGTTGATTAAGGAGGTCTCAGGTTCCACTACACAGGGACAACCTATCAATGTGTTCTTTCGCTGCTGTTTCATGGTGAATAAATTGATATTTTTACTATGTGTTAATCCGTGCGTATGTTGCCTACATAAACGCATAGTACAAGTGCAAATGAGCTTTATTCCAAAAGGGAGCCTTATCATTTTAGGCACATGTGTAGTATATCATATAGTCCAGACAAATCTAAAGCCCAAATTTATGCAATGAATATAAATTAATATGACAGCAACATAAAGGTAATGATGGTAAAGGCGCATCCAATAAAAAAGTGGTGGCAGCAAGATGATAGGCTAACAATATATTTGTGCCGTTTTTGCTATTGATAAGAGCAGCAGAAGCAAGACAGCCAATATCATGATTGACACCCCAAACAATGACAGCAAGGACGTTATCTGTACACTTAATGGCAAATGTAGGAAAAATAAAGAGAAAACAAGCCAACCCATGCAAAAGCATTGTCTTCCTTCCCAAGAGCTTCATCAGCAGTCTGCGGAATACTGAATTAGATAATTAAAAACAACAAAGACAAAGAACATTTTTTAAAATAGCAATGCATTGGGAGTCTTTTCATTTCCCTGATTGTGTTTTCTCGGTTAGGTTCAATCAATGTAATTAATACAAATAAAAATGTGGCCAAGATTAGGGTTACACAATCTGCAGATATACTAAAAACACGTGTGGTGGTCACTAATGTAACAGTAATGTGACTAAGCGCTTTCAGACAGTACAGCAACCTAAAACCTCATTGAAACTTAAAACAGAGTGAAAGACGTGTAACACTGAACACCTTCCTGGTTATGATCTATGTCAGTAAATGCTCTGTATGTATTTGTTTCATCATAGTGAGACCCACGCAGACAGGTGGAGGGCTCTGGTAGCTCGCAAACTCCTCTTTTTACGGTTCATTGAATAAACAGGCTGTCTGAAGACGGGGATCCAGCTGGGCCTCCCGGAGGACTTTGCTAGTGTGAGAATTACAGTAAGACATAAATTGCATTCTAGAAAAGCAGCTGCCATACCTAATCAGTGCACTGGGGCTCACACTATTTGAGTACCCTCCCCCCAGTAAGTCGGCCCTTACCCAAACTACATTACATTACAGGTCATTTAGCAGACGCTTTTATCCAAAGCGACTTACATTACACTTTAAACCCATGGCTTTTTCACATTTTTGCCCAGGGAGCAATTAGGGGTTAGGTGTCTTGCTCAGGGACACTTCGACATGGAACATGGGGCAGCCTGGAATTGAACCAACAACCTTGTGCTTCCCAGCACACTTTCTCTAACCCCTGCTCCACGACGACAAATAAATTTGACACCCCTGCTCTATGATAAATGATTAATTGTTCCTTCAAAGTAATCCATTTAAGCCTATTGTGTTAATGTGTCATCTATAAAGCAGTTGGCCTTCTAAAAAGTTATTTCCTGGTAGTAGTTTAGTGAATAGCAACCCTGTTTTTTTTTTCATTGTAAACAGGGGTGTGGTGGTTTGGCCTCAGAGTTCCACCCTGCTGCCTCTTTGCGTGGAGATCTCATGATATCCCCCGTGTCTACATGGCTCCGTCCCATCGTCTAAAGACATGCAACACAGGTTGTTTGTCTCTACGTCAGCCCAGACCAGTCCGAGTACCTAGTCTCTCGCCCGGTTTTGGCCGAGATTGACTCCGCCCTCTTAATTCACGGTCTACAATTGTATACAATTAGACTACAATTACATCAGACCCGCCGGTCAACAGGATGCACGCGGCTGATACTAAAAGTCCCAGAAGGCACCGCACTAACAACAAATCTAGCTGTGACTCCATAACGTTACCACTCTCTAATTACTGTCATTAACAGCTCAAAGCCCCCACAGGCGGTTTTGCACGGTGTATCAACCCCAAAAATTTTGATTTTCCATATTTTTAGTATCGAACCGTTAACAGAGCGCACTTGTTGCTCCGCTCCTCATCATGCAGCTGCACGCATTTACTGCGAGGAGGCGGGGTTGCTAAGCGTGCGCTCACAACGCGTGATCGCATAAGAGACATGCAGGGGGTATTGTGCTTGATTCTGGTTTCTATGGAATCCAATTTCCGACACTAGAAAGAAAGGCCATGTAGGTCATAATCATGGAATTGGTAGTAAGTATCGGGTATTATAATATATTTATTGTAGGACATAAATTTCAATATTGGGCCAAACTTACCGGCTGTTCGACTGCAGCTGGACTGCACATGTGCGTATGTAGCAACACGAGGCGTGATGTAAAGGTGAGGGCAGTTTAAATATTACGTTGCCAGACAACGCCACCCAGGGAATTGTTTTAAAATCTTCTCAACCCAACAAAAGGAAAGGGGGGAGGCACTCAGGTTTGTCGCAAATGAGGCGGGGGAACCAATCAGGGCTGAGACTTATGATGATGGACTGTCCAAAGAAAAGGGGGCCCAAGGAGCACCACATGTGAAACAACTGAAAGTGAAGCAAACTCAATCAACATGCAAAAACATAACATAAGAGGGACACCACCACCTGGGACACCAATCCACCACCGCAGACTCAGCACCTGAATGGGGGGCGGGGGGAAGATGAGAACAGGTCTAAAATAAAAGAAACTAAACCAAAAAAGAAAGAAAAAGATTACATTTAAACAAAAACTATACTACAAACTGCTTAACCAAAGTTTAACAAAATAAGGAAAACAACAAATTGACAAACTGACAAATAGGTGACGGTATATGCACCTTTAAGTTGGTTGCGATCTGCCAGTAAACCTCCGAGACAGAATTGTATCGAGGCACAGATCTGGCAAAGGGTACAGAAAGATTTCTGCAGCATTGAAAGTCCCAATAAGCACAGTGGCCTCCATCATCCGGAAATGGAAGGAGTTCGGAACCACCAGGACTCTTCCTAGAGTTGGCTGCCCAGCCAGACTGAGCGATCGGGGGGGAAGGGCCTTAGTCAGGGAGGTGACCAGGAACCCGATGGTCACTCTGACAGAGCTCCAGCGTTGTTCTGTGAAGAGAAGAGAACCTTCCAGAAGGACAACAATCTCTGCAGCACTCCACAAATCAGGCCTGTTTGGTAGAGTGGCCAGACGGAAGCCACTCCTCAGTGAAAAGCACATGACACCCTGCCTGGAGTTTGCGAAAAAGCACCTGAAGGACTCTCAGACCATGAGAAACAAAATTCTCTGGTCTGATGAAACAAAGATTGAACTATTTGGCCTGAATGCCAAGGGTCATGTCTGGAGGAAACCAGGCACTGCTCATCACCTGGCCAATACCATTCCTACAGGGAAGCACGGTGGTGGCAGCATCATGCTGTGGGGCTGTTTTTCAGCGGGAGGAACTGGGAGACTAGTCAGGATTGAGGGAAAGATGAATGCAGCAATGTACAGAGACATCCTCGATGAAAACATGCTCCAAAGCGCTCTGGACCTCAAACTAGGGCTACGGTTCATCTTCCAACAGGACAACGACCCGAAGCACACAGCCAAGATAACAAAGGAGTGGCTTCGGGACAACACTGTGAATGTCCTTGAAGTCCCTGTAAGGATCGCAACACTTAACAAAATAAAAAATATATATGAGCACAACTAAATCACACATGACTGAACATACTGCATATGTAACTTATACATGATGTTTATTATATAATGCAATATATATTTATGTATAAATGGAGGCCATGTAAAACACAATTCTGTTTTGATCATATATATTTATATATATTCTGTGGACAACACATATAGTAATTAGACATTTTATCCATATGTATTCCTTTCATTGAGATTAAAATAACACATTTGCCTGTCTTGATAAAGGAAATATGGTGTTTTTGCCCCTTGGCCTTTTGCTTTTGCCTTTTGACTGTTAAAGTCTTTTACTTTCTTAGAAGTCTGCGTTTGAGTCCTGCCTCCTCCACCCTTCCCTGACAGAAACAAAGTAGAACAAGGGATGAAAACAAGCCAGAAACCAAACCTGTTCCAGGAAGTGTCTGAAAATGTTACTTCCTGGACCAAATATGTCAATGAATAGAAATCTCGGCCAAATTAAAATGACATCATTCACAAACAATCCATCAAAACAGCTGAGAAGATGAGTCACAATGACTGTCACCTTTCTTTAAGGATTGCAACACTCAACAAAATAAAAAATGCTATGAGCACTATACCACACATGAATGAAATTACTGTATATGTACCTCATACATGATCTGTATTATATGACTATATATATAATTTAAAACACAAATCTTTTATTACCATATAAATAGAAATCTATACCTTCTGCTTGCAACACTTTTTGTACATTTTTGTACACTTTTTGACATTTTGTACACTTGGTATTTTAAATATAACATAAAGTTTGATTGTTTGTCTGTTGTTTGATGTGATGTAGTTATGCTCATTGGAATTGAATTGTATTTTGTATTATAAACCAACAATTAAATGTTGAGATTTTATAGATAAAAACAAAGGATAAATCTGCTCAAATGCAAGAATGGACATGAACTTTTCAAATTACATTTTAATATATTTCTCTCCTATTTGTATTATATTCTATTTACAACACATGTAGTAATTGTAATCTTGTGGGGTGACATTCCAGTCTCTATGTTAACTGTGCTTTTCATTGTCATTGAAGAATGGTCATAGTGTCTGGCCGGTTTTAGCACAGTTTCGGGCTGGGCAGGTTTCGGGCCGGTTTAGGACAGGTGTAGGACAGGGTTAGTCAAGTTTGTCTTTCAGACTCTTCACATTAGGATACTTTTATACTGTTGAATTCTGCCGTTGACATATTAAACAAGTCTTTCAATCTCCATTTAAAAAACACGTTTATCTTAAAAACCCACTCCGTAGATCACCCACTTTTACACAAGAAAATATGAATGGAGAAAGCAATCAGGAGAAACGTCTTTAATTTCTCCAACAGCTAAAAACAAAGAATAACTTTGGTTTTTATCACTTGGTGACTCTCTCCTTCTTGAAACAACCATTTTGTGTTTAGTTAATGGTCCTGGTTTGTTTCCACATTAGACAACATTGCAAAATGTCCTTCCACTAAAGTGCTCACCTTGACTACTGAGCTCACTGACAGCACACCACACTATTAGTTTAAGTTGCTTTTTGGTCTACTTGGCTGTGTGCGCCCTGTTTGAGTTAGAAGTATAACGCTTAACGAGCACTGAACTTAAAACAACATGCCCACCATTTCTAACTTATCTTTCTGTAGTTTTATAAAGCCTTACATTATTTGTCTTTTAACTGTGTTTTTATTTCAATACAGACATAACATTCAGATGATGAGACCAAAAACGTCACAAAAGGGACACAATAAATGCATGTCTACTCTGAACTCATTTAAACCAGACAAGTTGGCAGTTAAGCAGACTACAGCTAACGGAGACCAGTCAAATAACTGTTTGATTATTTGAGAATTTAACCATCTTCACACTTTTCTTCTTATACAATTTGTCCTTCTTGAGTTCTAATTTGTGGGTGAAACATTTGCACTTTATTACAAATAATGCAAAATGTTTCTTTGGACTTGGTGATGGGGCAGATAGCAATTGCAAGTGATGTCGAATTAATGGAGCCATCAGTCCACCATATGTTCTCACTGCTTGTTACGTCCCAGGTTCTACTCCACCTGGGGGCCTTGGTAGGATCTTGTTTACCCCATCTCACTTTAAAACGATCAGCTATTGAGTCAGAAATCCTAAATGAATCAATTGAAAATCATATTTTTGATGATTTGATATTTATATTCATATTTTGGCACACAAACTTTATACATTAGTCAAATTCCTTGTTTGAACAGTGAGCTGAAAAACAGGGTTCGTTGTCGATTCCTCTCTTAAATGATACAACTTACAGACTTTATTTTCACTATGTTGTGGTACATCAACAGAGATTCTTTGTGTATCAAGTGTCAATCAACAACATTGCAAGCAAAAAACGGTTATTTCATTACATTTGCCAAGATATCTACACTTATGTACCTCCACAATCAGCAATACATACACATTCACTGAGTTTCACACACTCTAAAGCGTTGCTGTTCTTGTATAGAACATGTAACGAAGATGCTCTCTGAGGAGTGAAATGAGGCACTGAATAATCACGCCATGGTGCTTTTCACTCTTTCGAATATCTGTCTGACTTTTACGGCAGGTACACAGCCTTCTCTCACAATGGTGATGGTCCCTGTGGAAACAGTGGAATAAGCTTCAGTTAGAACGTGCCAGCGAAAACACATAAAAGAAAGAATGTACTAGGAATGTATCTGACCTTCATCAATCTTCAGGCAGTTGACCACGGTGGAAGCAACAACTTCATTAGAGTCTCCATCACACAGAACCCCTCGAATCTTGTGCCCCAGTCGACTGTTGGAAAAACAGATGTGTGACTCAATGTGCATGTAGTTTATTTGCAAAATGCCACACATTTGTCACAGCTACACTGAGATTAATCTGCAGTAAAGATGAAAGGTTAGTTCTGTGAGGAGACACTGACTTGATGACCATGGTGTGGTGAGTGCTGTCTGGCTCTCCGCTGGGGTTCGCCGAAGTAATAGCAAGGGGCCCCGTGATGTCACACAGGTGGCACGTCACAGTGTGGTCAGGGACACGGATCATGATGCTGTCCCTCGTGCCAACACGATCATAAGCTGGTCCCACTCCTACTCAAAATGAGTTGAAAAGGTAAGGGGAAATGGCGGTGATTTGAATGTAAAGTTGGCTGAAACTATTATTCATACAGCCATAAAACAGAAAAGCTTTACCTAGTCTGAGTAGCCAGTCTCCTTTGCTGACAATGCAGCTGATGTCTCCTGGATAAACATTTCTCATAAACTCCCACGGCAAAGGGCTAAAGGGAGGCTTGGCTGTCACCAGCTGCTCCACATTTGCGATGCAAATGCAGATGGGCTTCTCGGCTGGTCGGTCCTGTGTAAGGTCACAGTGCACAGGTTGAGGAATTTTACATCAAAGTCAAAATGTTGAATCAGTGTCATATTTTGCTTCTAAATGACATCAAAATGGCACCCCTGTCCCTCTTACCTTAATATTATAGATTTTCTCTATAGCTTGAGGGTTCTTGCAGGAGGCAGCCAGGGCATACACAGTGTCCGTAGGAATACCACACACTCCGCCTGCCTCCAGAATGCCAGCGATTTTCAGGAGACCACTGGTGAGTCGTGAATAGTGAACAGGGCAGGGTAGTTCTGCAGCAGACTCCTCCTTCGCTTCCTCCTGAGTGAGTGACATTTGGGGGTAAATAATAGAATATGATAGCCCAAGAGGAAGGCAAAAGGTTTCTTGATTGGTTACCTTTATTAGGGAAGGGCCCATAGGTAGCAGCCTCTGAGAGAAGATGCAGTTCACCAGTGATGCCAGAGCTCCATATATACAAATTGCCGAGAGTAGTGCAAGCATGGCAACTGCAAAGACAATGACAATAACCATATGGATTATCTAGTTTTCCAGATAATATTCTAATTTCAGCCTATCCGTTTATTTAAAAGTCTAAACCAAAATAGGACTGAGGCTTCAGCTACACATACTTTCTAGTCCAAGTGGCAGTCGCTGCAGAGTGGACAGCAGCAAACACACCAGAACAACCTCCATGACGGTTGTTAGAAACAGCAAGACCAGGTTCCTGTAGGCAGCTGACAGACATGATGGAAGAAAGAAATCAAACATAAAAACAATGTAAAAAAAACAAAAAAACGATGTAAGAATACGTGTTCAAGATTTGGAGCCTGGTCGGGGTTATCAAAAATTCAGCCGAATGACTTCTCTCGTTCTGGGAAATTTATTTGTCAGATCACAGGTCAAGTATCAGCGCTGCGTTTGCAAAGGCAGGAGCAGTTCAGGCAGCACACAGGCCGGAAGAACAACTCACTAACATCAGCAAGAACATCATGTTTTATAACCCTTGAAAGACAGAGAAGGAAAGATTTCTATTGGCCCTAAACTGGAGTAGAGGAGGACCTTCCACCTCCCGCATCTAAGATCCGGTCACATCCAATGTCCAGACTCCTGACTTAACGTAAACATCGTAAACAGAGTGTGTATGTTGAATAGTGTTGGTGTGTCTCTAACCCCCCTTGGCTGGTAAATCTTCTAGTTGACCCGCAGACCTTACATTCCTCAGCCAGGACATAAACTGACCCATCCTGTCAGACTCGTGTCTGCCTGCTCCTTACCTAACTCTTAAATCAAGACAAGACAGCAAACCCCCAACAAAGCCCATGAAAAGAACTTTTGATTATCACAGACATGATGGAAGAAAGAAATCAAACATAAAAACAATAATTGCATTCATTAGAACTATTTTAAACAACGAATCTTGTTGATCTTACCAATCAGCATGAGGAAAGCATTAATGACCAGAAGAGCAATGGCTCCTGCTGTGAAAGCATAAGCCGCATGTCTGGAAAACTGAAGCAGGTTACCTGGAATAGAAACATGTGGGATCAGAATTGTTTGTGATTTATTGACAATAGGTTTCCATTTAATTAACATTAATCATAATTGATATTTACATGTTGGTATTGACATACCTGCAAACCTAAACCAGGTCCAGGTTGCCCATACAGCTACATAGATGGATGCGATGACCGACCCGAACCGACCAGTTCCTGTAACTTGCAGACGGCTGACGTAGGCCTGGATGATGCCTCCAGAAATTAAGACCCAAGGTACAGTCAGATGAAAGAAGGTGGGGTTTGTGCTGGCTGAACTTATGGTGAGAGCTGAGAAGGCTGCAACTCCATTTAAAAGGTAGAATAGAGCGTCTGAGGCCTGGTCCATTTGGGGAAGAGACTCTTGGTCTTCCTTTCCGGCCCTGCAGCAGTTCAAAGCCTTCTTCAACTGGTCAGAAGAGATGGGCTGTGGTCCTGCAGGGATCAGAGACTTCTCTGCTATGCTGTTTATAAGACGGGCAAAAGTACAATACAGGGAGGCTGCTGTGAATAGGGAGCATGCTACACCAAAGAAGATGTAGTATCCCTTGAGAGGAATCTGAGGGATTGTGGAGACTGTGAGCAGGACAAACAGCATGTTGTGGATGAGCTCCAGGACATCTGTGTTAAGGCCTGCCACACACAGCACCACGCCTGCCATAACAAAGAACCAATCTCCCACCATCATTGCCCTTCCCGAGATTACAATAGTGTCCTCCAAAACCAGAGCAGATACCACAAACTCATCCCAAGCCTTGATCAGCCAATATGTTGCATGAAGACCAAACTTAGTTGTGTGGTAGCAGTCTTGGCGCAGATGGGCATAATAGCTGGAGAACAGCTGGGCAACTGTGATGATTGAGATCCATGCGGCTCCTAAACCAAAGGATTTCATGTACCCAAAGCTGTAGAAAGCAAAGATGAAGGGGGCAACTGTGTCACAGAAGAAACCCAAGGCCATGGGCTCTGCATATTTTGTGTTTTTCTTCTTCTCTTGGCCAACGTTCTGGGCCTTTCCTGAGTTTCCGGTCCCTAGGAGGAGAACATTAAAGAGGGGGGTACCGAAGCCATTGAGGGCTAGACGAGTCAAAGTCAAGCCTTTGCTTAGCAGTGCAGCTCATATCTGGTCTGATGAAACAAAGATTGAACTCTTTGGCCTGAATGGCCAAGCCTCATGTCTGGAGGAAACCAGGCACTGCTCATCACCTGGCCAATACCATTCCTACAGGGAAGCACGGTGGTGGCAGCATCATGCTGTGGGGATGTTTTTCAGCGGGAGGAACTGGGAGACTATAGTCAGGATTGAGGGAAAGATGAATGCAGCAATGTACAGAGACATCCTCGATGAAAACATGCTCCAAAGCGCTCAGGACCTCAGACTAGGGCTACGGTTCATCTTCCAACAGGACAACGACCCGAATCACACAGCCAAGATAACAAAGGAGTGGCTTCGGGACAGCTCTGTGAATGTCCTTGAGTGGCCCAGCCAGAGCCCTGACTTGAACCCGATTGAACATCTCTGGAGAGAACTGAAAATGGCTGTGCACCGACGCTCCCCATCCAACCTGATGGAACTTGAGAGGTTGTGCAAAGAAGAATAGGAGAAACTGCCCAGAAATAGGTGTGCCACGCTTGTGGAATCATACCCAAGAAGACTGAAGGCTGTAATTGCTGCCAAAGGTGATTCAACAAAGTATTGAGCAAAGGCTGTGAATACTTATGTACATGTTATGTTTTCGTTCTTTATTTTTAACAGATTTGCAAAAAATTGCAAAATAGAGTTTTCAATTTGTTATTATGGGTTGTTGTGTGTAGAATGTTGAGGAAAATAATGAATTTAATCCGTTTTGGAATAAGGCTGTAACATAACAAAATGTGGAAAAAGTGAAGCGCTGTGAATACTTTCCGGATGCACTGTAAATGTATACTCATAGATAAAAAAAAGGAGAACATGCAAATTAATTGAAGCCTAAAACATGAATTTCCAGAAAGTGCCAGTTAGCCAGCCTCGAAGGAGTCATGAATCGGCAAAACTGAGAGTCATCAGTGGTACAATCCCCTTCAGGCAATTGGCTCACCTTCTTACATCTTATCCATTTATATTGATTTAATTTTTGCTTGTATATTTTTTATCTTATTTCACTTTATCTTATTTAATTCTTATATCACACCAAACATTAGGACAAATTCTGATTCTGATTCATTTGGAAAACATCTCTATTATCGTCAGGCAGTAATCCTTTTCCTTACATTGATTTAGTTCAATGAAGTCCATACTAATGTTTACTCGTAATTTAAACCATGGGATTGTGTTTTTCACACTCAATGCATGCCAAAAAATGATTATTAGTAATTAGTACAGCTAAACGCTGTACAGCCTTTACATCCCCCCTGTTGAGCATGTGAAAATATGTTAAGGCGTAATCTGAACAGTCAAAGTCAATCTTCCATTTGAGCGGCTTTTTCTTTGGTATTTTAAAGATAACATCAAGTTTGATTGTTGGTTCATAATAGAGAATGCAAGTTTATTCCAGTCTAGAGAGAAATATCACACACAGTAGAACAAGGGATGAAAACGAGCCAGAAACCACACCTGTTCCAGGGCGTGTCTGCAAATGTTACTCCCCGGACAAATTATTTTGAATAAACAAGAACCGTTGCCAATTTAAAATGACATAATTCACAAACAATCATTCACAACACCAGAGAAGATGAATCACAATGACTGTAACCTTTTTTTAAGGATCGCAACACTTAACAAAATAAAAAATATATATGAGCACAACTAAATCACACATGACTGAACATACTGCATATGTAACTTATACATGATGTTTATTATATAATGCAATATATATTTATGTATAAATGGAGGCCATGTAAAACACAATTCTGTTTTGATCATATATATTTATATATATACTGTGGACAACACATATAGTAATTAGACATTTTATCCATATGTATTCCTTTCATTGAGATTAAAATAACACATTTGCCTGTCTTGATAAAGGAAATATGGTGTTTTTGCCCCTTGGCCTTTTGCTTTTGCCTTTTGACTGTTAAAGTCTTTTACTTTCTTAGAAGTCTGCGTTTGAGTCCTGCCTCCTCCACCCTTCCCTGACAGAAACAAAGTAGAACAAGGGATGAAAACAAGCCAGAAACCAAACCTGTTCCAGGAAGTGTCTGAAAATGTTACTTCCTGGACCAAATATGTCAATGAATAGAAATCTCGGCCAAATTAAAATGACATCATTCACAAACAATCCATCAAAACAGCTGAGAAGATGAGTCACAATGACTGTCACCTTTCTTTAAGGATTGCAACACTCAACAAAATAAAAAATGCTATGAGCACTATACCACACATGAATGAAATTACTGTATATGTACCTCATACATGATCTGTATTATATGACTATATATATAATTTAAAACACAAATCTTTTATTACCATATAAATAGAAATCTATACCTTCTGCTTGCAACACTTATAGTAATGAGACATTTTGTACACTCAAGTCAGTCTACCATTTCAACGGCTTCTTTGGTATTTTAAATATAGCATAAAGTTTGATTGTTTGTCTGTTTTTTGATGTGATGTAGTTATGCTCATTGGAATTTAATTCTATTTTGTATTATAAACCAACAATTAAATGTTGAGATTTTATAGATAAAAGCAAAGAATAAATCTGCTCAAATGCAAGAATGGACATGAACTGTTCAAATTACATTTTAATATATTTCTCTCCTATTTGTATTATATTCTATTTACAACACACGTAGTAATTGTAATCTTGTGGGGTGACATTCCAGTCTCTATGTTAACTGTGCTTTTCATTGTCATTGAAGAATGGTCATAGTGTCTGGCCGGTTTTAGCACAGTTTCGGCCCGGTTTAGGACAGGGTTAGTCAAGTTTGTCTTTCAGACTCTTCACATTAGGATACTTTCATACTGTTAAATTCTGTCGTTGACATATTAAACAAGTCTTTCAATCTCCATTTAAAAAATACGTTTATCTTAAAAACCCACTCCGTAGATCACCCACTTTTACACAAGAAAATATGAATGGAGAAAGCAATCAGGAGAAACGTCTTTAATTTCTCCAACAGTTAAAAACAAAGAATAACTTTCGTTTTTTTCACTTGGTGACTCTCATTCTTGAAACAACCATTTTGTGTTTAGTTAATTGTCCTGGTGTAGTGAATGTGACTGCATAATTCACCTTTGTTCTTGTTTTGTTGTACACGTAATTGCGACTTTTCTGGGATCGCGGCCCCTTTAAACGTTTTGTTATTTATGACGTAGAGATCCTTGCTTGTGAGGTTACAGGGCTGCGCTATCTTGTGGGTTTGTTGTGGTAAAAATAAACGAGACACACGCTGCTGTGCCGGTTTTAGCACAGTTTCGGGCTGGGCAGGTTTCGGGCCGGTTTAGGACAGGTGTAGATAAAAAATGTTTATCTTAAAAACCCACTCCATAGATCACCCACTTTTACACAAGAAAATATGAATGGAGAAAGTAATCAGGAGAAACGTCTTTAATTTCTCCAACTGCTAAAAACAAAGAATAACTTTGGTTTTTATCACTTGGTGACTCTCTCCTTCTTGAAACAACCATTTTGTGTTTAGTTAATGGTCCTGGTTTGTTTCCACATTAGACAACATTGCAAAATGTCCTTCCACTAAAGTGCTCACCTTAACTACTGAGCTCACTGACAGCACACCACACTATTAGTTTAAGTTGCTTTTTGGTCTACTTGGCTGTGTGCGCCCTGTTTGAGTTAGAAGTATAACGCTTAACGAGCACTGAACTTAAAACAACATGCCCACCATTTCTAACTTATCTTTCTGTAGTTTTATAAAGCCTTACATTATTTGTCTTTTAACTGTGTTTTTATTTCAATACAGACATAACATTCAGATGATGAGACCAAAAACGTCACAAAAGGGACACAATAAATGCATGTCTACTCTGAACTCATTTAAACCAGACAAGTTGGCAGTTAAGCAGACTACAGCTAACGGAGACCAGTCAAATAACTGTTTGATTATTTGAGAATTTAACCATCTTCACACTTTTCTTCTTATACAATTTGTCCTTCTTGAGTTCTAATTTGTGGGTGAAACA